TGATACAACTGTTTCAACTGGAGCACCAAGCAGGCGCCACCGTCTCCACAGGAGAGCCAGGCAAACGAAGCCCAGAGAGGTGACGGGTCCCAAGAGACAGCGCAGAAAGCGAGGGGGCCAGGCTGGACCCGGGGCCACCTCTGCCAGCTGGCCGAGCCCCTCTGGGCCTGCCCTGCCCCACGCCCCCTCCTCTCCAGGGCCGGAGGCAACAGCTGCTCTCTGTACTGGATGCGAAGCTCCTGTGAACTAACCGCTTCAGAAGTGCATCCGTCCTCCCCTCTGCCTCCTCCCTCACCCCTCTCACGCCACAGATCGCTGAGGTCAGTCCTGGACCTGGGTGTGTGCGTGTGATGTGTGTGTGTTTGTGGTGTTAACCCAGGGGCTGTTTCAACTCCTGGGTTCCCCCAGCCCAAGTCCTAGGAGAGTTTGAGGTTACAGTCCCCACCCTTGGTTCTTGTTCCCAAGTGAGGCAACCCAGTGCCTGGATCCAGAGGATCATCAAATGTTTATTTGGAATAACAGCCACCACCAACCACTACCACCAGCCACCACCACTTACTCACTTCTTGTGTTTATGTGTGTTAGTCGCTCAGTCGTGTCCGACTCCTTGTGGCCCCATGGACTGCAGCCTGCCAGGCTCTGTCCATGGGGATTCTCCAGGCAAGCATACTGGAGTGGGTTGCCATGCCCTCCTCCAGAGGATTTTCCCGGCCCAGGGATTGAACCCGGGTCCCCAGCACTGCAGGCAGATTCTTTACCGTCTGAGCCACCAGGCACGCCCCACTCACTTCTTATCCTGTGCCCCAAACTCTGCGCATCAAGGCATCATCTCGTTAATCCTCACCAGTGATCCTCCAAAACAGGTCCGTTAGCAGCTCATTTTACAAACTGGGGAAACTGAAGCTGGAAGGGACTGACCTCGCAGGGAGAAAATGCAGAGCTGAGATGGAAACCCCGGTCTGGCCAACTCCACACCCGTGCTCTGAACCAGAGCATGACGCCTGGAATCCTACATACCACGGCTGAAAACGGCCCCTTGAATCAGTCTGTTCCAGCCACGCCATTTTACAGATGGGAAAACTAAGCGCGTCTTGCCGAGGGCCGCAGGCTGAAGCTGCATCTCCACCCTCGGCCTTGCCTTCGGTGACCAGCTCAGGGCAGGCCTGCACACCTGGGGAGGCGGCGCGTGGGAGGCAGGCTACGACTCCAGGCAGAGGTAAATATTGACCGGCGGTGTTTACCCTGTAACCTGACTCCTGCCTTCCCCGAGAGGAGGGGAGGAGCTGGTGGGGAGGAGCCTGGGGAGGAGGAGGGTCTGTCTTCTGGGTCAGGGGCTGCTCCTCACACACAGTGAGCATGAGCTCAGGAGGCTGGGGAAGTCTCCAGACAGGGGCCACTGGGGACCTGGTCCCGGGCCCCAGGGGCAATGCCAGGAGCTGGGAGATAGGGGTCTGGGCTGGGGGGACACAGGCCTGGGTTTCAGCCCTGGCTTTGCCACCTGTTGGCCGTGGGATCACAGATAGGTGGTGAAGAGGGTGGGCGGAAGGACCTCACTGTCAAGTGCTGGGCAAAGGCGAAAGGTAATCAGCATGTCAGCCAGGCCAGCATCCAGCCCCAATCAGCTCCCCAGGCCTCTGGCCACTGCCCAACAGTCCCATCCCCGTCCCCAGGGGGTTTTCCCAGGAAGGCAGTTTCTGCCAAATCGAGTGGCAGTTTGGGACTGAAGCCAGAATCTTGAGTAATCAGGAGGCTGCTGCCCGCTTACAAGTCCTAACTCCCTAACTGGTCACTGAGCCTCAGCCTTCCCAGGTCCGTAATGGGGATGAACCTGCTCCCTGCGGTTGGTATGACGGTCACAAGGCTGACACGTAAGTGCCAGGCACATGGTAGACGCTCACATCACCCCCTCAGTCTTTCCTCCTGTAAAATAGTGAAAGTGAAGTCGCTCAGTCGTGTCCGACTCTTTGCGACCCCACAGACTGACTATAGCCTACCAGGCTCCTCCGTCCATGGGATTTTCCAGGCAAGAGTACTGGAGTGGGTTGCTGTTGAATTAGGTGGTTACAAATCCCCCTTTAACACAAGCACTCCAAGATTTTAAGGAGATCGGGCAGCCAGGCACACCTCCCTGAAGTTGGATCCTCTCTCAGCTTATTTCCTGAATGTTTCCCAGAAACGTGTTCCTCTGTTTACATCAGCCCCTCACTAACTCCCCCACCAGGAGCCCAGTGGGGAGAGGGAGCCTTTCCGAGGCTCGTCAGAGAGCCGAGGCAGGCCTGGGCAGCCCATCCTCAGGGCCACTGGGGAAAGGGCTGGACCCCCAGGTCCTAGGCTCCCAGCGCCCCTCTCTGGCAGTGGGGTCAGCCAGCACTGGTTACTCATTAATCTTTGCCCCAGGCCAGACCATACCTTCAGTTCAGTTCAGTCGCCCAGTAGTGTGTGACTCTGTGACCCCATGGACTGCAGCACGCCAGGCCTCCCTGTCCATCGCCAACTCCCGGAGTTTACCCAAACTCGTGTCCATCGAGTCGGTGATGCCAACAAGCCATCTCCTCCTCTGTCGTCCCCTTCTCCTCCTGCCTTCAATCTTTCCCAGCGTCGGGGTCTTTTCCCAGTGAGTCAGCATCTCCTCACTGTCCTCTCTCCAAAGCTTGGCTCCTTGGAAGCCTTCCCTTCCATTCACTGTGGCCCGAGGAAGCAGTTCAAATGCCGCCTCCTCTGGAAAGCCTTCCCTGATACACCCCCATGGCCAGGGGGACCCGAAGCTACATCCCCATTTTCTACCTTGTTTCAGAACTTTTTGGAAACTTCGTCTTTCTCCTCTGTTAGATCAAAGTTCCTGGAGGCCCGCTAGTTAATTCGCAGGAAAGCAGGAGAAGAGGAAGATCCACGCCCACAGGGCAGGGGGCTCTGGGGGGCCTCTAGGGCCAGACCCCCTCCTCGCCGCTCCGCCCACCCTGGGCAGCGTGTGGGGTGGGGTGGGGTGGGTGGGGGCTGTAGCGGGTGTTCAGACCACTGTGGTCTCTCCTGGGGCCGCTCTGGCAGCCTCCTAAAGGGTTTCCCGGCCTCCAGCCTTGCCCTTTCCCTCCATTCTCTGCAAAGCAGCCTCTGCGATTATCTCAAAAATGCAGACCTGACCATGTCACTCCCCTCACAGCCCTTAGGATCCAGCCCCAAATCTTGAACCAGGCCTTCCCTGCACGCGCCCACCCCGGCCACCTCCCAAGCATCATCTTCTGAGCCTGCAGGCAAATTGACTCCCGAGAGCACCAAGTTTTGTCCCATCTCCCACTTGCTGCTGCCCCCGCCTGGAATGCTCTTCCCGGTCTCGTCCATTCTTTAAGGCCACAACCTCCATGGCACGGCCTCTAGGGCAGCCTTTCTACGGCCCCAGGTTGCCCTATCTGCGCCACAGCACCCCGTGTGTCTCCTTGGTAACAGAAATCACACTTGTAATTTCCTACTCCCTATCTCTTGATTGCCAGACTGAAAAACAGACCTACCAGTCTCATCCATACTGATGCCCACAGCCCCAGCTCCTGGCATTATGCGAGGCATACTTTTTTGGTGAATGAATGAATGGGTGGATGAATGAATGAATGCAGCACTTTGACCAGGGCAGGGCCTTACCTAGTTAACTGAAAAGAAAAAATTGAGAAGGACAAAAAGTCGTAAACAGTTGCTGATGGCTCCTCCCTCGCTGTTGCTATCACCCTGACATCAAAGTGTGGACTTTGGCCAAGCTGTTTATGTCTTGGCCAAGGCCTGAAACTTTCTGTTGAACTCACCCCGAAACCCTCCTACTACTTAAATCCTGCTTCTACCCTATATAGGGCTTGGTTTCTCCAATTCCATCTGGGAAAAAATGTATCTGTTCTTTAACAAAAGTTAATAAGGTGCCTATAAGCAATAACCCAACAGCACAGCACAGGCCACACTGGGGAAAGATACCTTGTACTCTGGAAGCCCCCTGCAGACTGGTTCAGGGGGCATGTGGCTGGCCTCCCATCTTCAGTCAGTCATTCTGTTGCTATTCAGTCACTCAGTCGCATCCAACTCTTTGTGACCCCATGGACTGCAGTAAGCCAGGTCTCCTGTCCTTCACCATCTCCCAGAGCTTGCTCAAACTCATGTCCACTGAGTCGGTCATGCCATCCAACCATCTCGTCCTCTGTTGTCCCCTTCTCCTCCTGCCTTCAATCATACTTTCCCTCAAGTTCTTAACAGTTTGTAAAACATTTCTATGTTGTGTACTAGGTGGTATTGGCCTGCGATCCTGACAAGGAGCAAACCGGCCGCACTTGGTAGGAAAGGGGGTGCAGAGAGAAGGAACAGCTGACCCAAAGTCACGCGGCAAGTGGGTGGGACACCCAGTCTTGACGCTTGGGAGCTGGACCTGGTTCTCAGCTCAGCCACTTACAGTAAAGATGACTGCTGACCCTCCAGCTCAGCCCCTAGTTGGGAAGGAAAAGAAGCATTCTCAGGGCTCCACAAGAGCAGGCTGGGCCTCCTCCCCCCAACCTGTCTGTCTGGTAGCCCCCCGGACTTGCAGGAGGTTTGCGCCTGCTCTGGTTCCATCTTGCTGTGTGACCCTAACAATCTCCTTCATCTCTCTGTGCCTGCTGCTGGGCAGCATGAGGACAATCAGAGACAGGACGGACAAAACGCCCCTGAGAGCCCTCATCTCCCACGTCTGCAGAGGGGGTCTACTTGAAGCCTCTGAGAGCAGCGCTGACTCCCTGCCAAGGCGTTAGAGACCGAGGTGGGGAGCTGGGGACCATCAAGCAGATGGAGGCAGGACACAGGAAACAGCCCACGCGCTCTCTGAGCAGAGCCCCGTTAGGAACCCAGGGGCCAGGGGAAACTTGGCAACGCTGGCAAGAACGCTGAACTGTTTTAAACCCGTGGAGCAGGAGAGCCAAGGAATAAACACTCTAGCAGCCCTGAATCACCCCCACCTCAGGAATGAGCACAGGGCCTGGTGTTTAGGAGAAACCAAAATGACAGGGGCCGAGGGGCCTGACATCAGCCTTCTTCCCGCCCGATCGCAGTGGACCAACTACCCACGGTGGAGCTCCGGCCCCTCGGCCTGCCCCAGCCTCCCACCATCCAGCCCCAGCAGCGTCCCCTGCCGCCTTCCCCTCTCTCCTGCCGCTCCGGTGCCCACAGGCCGAGCAAACCCCATCGGGCCCTTTCCAAGAGTACTTCCCACACTCCCACATCTCTGGTCCTCCGCTCGCAGAGGTGCGTTGACCCGGGATGTTCTTTCCAATTCAGACGCCACCTGCTCGGTGAAGCTTTCCCCCACCTCTCCGTCCAGAGGGGAGCCCTGCCCTGGCAGCATCGCGCCACCTCTCCTAAAGACATGCCACCCCGCCTGAGGATGGTGTGGACATTTATAGAGTAGTGAAAGCCCTCTTTTTTTTTTTTGGCCATACTATGTGCCATGTGGGATCTTAGTTTCCTGACCAGGGATTGAACCCGGGCGCCCTGCAGTGGAAGCGCAGCCTCTAACCCCTGGGTGGCCAGGGGAAGTCCCATGGAAGCGCTCTTACCATGGTGTTTACGACCGTTTTTTTCCTCCCTAGACAAGACTTGGCATATAGAAGAGTTCAATAAATCTTTGTTGACTGATGAGCTAATGCCTGATTTTCTAAGTATCACCCTCCCCGTTTTCTCCCCACATGATAAACTTTAATCCTTCTTCTGCACTTAGCAAAGAGGTTAGATGTCAGGCAGAACTTCCCACCTTGAACTTAAAGTTGTATCAGAAAGCTGTATTCAAGTAAAGCCCTCTTGCTGGGTTAGCTCACCAAGTCTGTACAACATCCTTGAGAGATAAGACATATCATCTCATTTCACAGATGAAGAGGAAACGGAAACTCAGAGGTAATGATGTCACTTGTCCCTCTGGGGAAGCAGAGGAACCAAAATTCAAACCCAAGTCTGTTTGAGGACAAAACCAGGGGTCTTTCTGACAGGCTGGAAGGTTGTAAGGCTCTGAAATGTGTCACCGGGGCAAAGTGACCGGCCTCTCCTTCTTTAACTGATTTTTGAGAAGGATAAATTTCTCTTTCTGAGTAACTAAGGTCAGAGTGGGCTTGGAGGCAGAGTCGATGATATGACCTCGAAGTCACCCTTTTTTTATTTCCCATATACTGAGACCTTAAATCAAGTGCCGATCCACTTGGGAGTGAGCACCCTGCCACTGCAACTATTCAAGAAGAGCAATCTGGGGGGGGGGTCCTGATCAAAGAGGTAGGTTGGATCCAAGAGTCTCTAAGCACCTCTAGGTGCGGAATCAAGCCATAACTTCATTATTACTGACTCTGGAGTGGCTCGTGGTGGTGCAGGGCAGGCAGACACTCGTGGGTGAGAAAAGAGGGGACTGGCTTGAAGGGAAGAAGAACGGGATATTGTATGGGGGCTCCAGGCCCGGAGAGAGTGGGAGTTGGTCCTGGGGGGTCGCTGAGGGGACTCATCAGGCTACAGGGGTCCTTTCCTGCCCCCACCTGGCACATTCAGGCTTGACGGCATCGTCACAGAGACGGGGAGGTGTGGCTGCGTCCGTGGGCCTGGAAGCCACCGTCACCGACACATGCCCTTCATGGTGCCCTGTGTCCACTCCACAGGGCACAGAGCAGGACAAGAGAGAGAACCGGAGCGGCCTGCCCTCGGAGAAGACAAGCCACAGAGACGTAGGCGGCCTCGGCCTCCATGATGGCGAGGTGGTCACCAGGCCTCAGAGAGGTACTGAAAGATCTTGACTTTCCTTCCAGAACCACCCTCCTCTCTAAAACAGCGTCAACGAATTCAGCCTGACCAAACGGATTTCTCTCCGGGGATTTCAGAAACACCGACCCCCCCCCTCCCCGGTCCCCCCAAGTCCCCAAGTCCAACTCCTTTCTTCCTGGTGCCACTGCCCATCCGAGTCAGTGGCCTCACCAACCCCCTCCGATCAAGACCCATTACTGGGACATGCTGGGGAGACCAGATCGCTGGCCTTAGGGCATCCCAGGGGCCCCTGGTCTCTGACAGCATCCACTCTCAACCCTCAGGGCATAGTGGATCCAGTCCCAGGGCGCCCGAACTACTCCTCCGAAGCTCTCGGCGCGGCCACCCACGACGCTCCAAGCCGAGCCTCAGCCCCAGACCCGCCTCAGAGTCCCGGGACACTCAGGTCCTACCGAATCCAGCGCTTCGGATGGTCCCCGACCCCCTTACGGAACCCGCCGAGGGTCTCCAAGCCCAGCAGCGTTCAGGGCCTTCCGGACGCCCCAGCGCAAAACCACAGCAAGGGAGCACGAACCGAAGCGGCCACCCCGACCCCCTCCAGCCGCCCCCGACGGAACAGAGCGCGGCGCCGTCAGGCGAGCCGAGCGCGGCCCGCGCACCCCACGACTGCACGCCTTCCCAGAGCCGCAGCCGGCGCCCAGGCCCCCCGCGCTCCGGGCCGGCCTTAACCCTCGGCGCGCCGGGGCTAGGGCCGGTGGGCCGCGTGCGCACCCCCGAGGGCTGACCGGGGCTGGAGCTCCGGCGCCCGGGGCGGGCTCCAGACCACGCCGAGACCCGGCTCGAGGCCGGCCAAGGCCAGGGAGCCGCTCATCTGCGTTCGGTGCGCGGCGCCGGGAGCCTCGGCGACCTTTGTCTTCCTGCCTGGTGACTGCAAGGAGTGTGAGCCAGGGCATTGCAGCTGCGCGCGCGCGTGTGTAAGAGTGAGAGAGGCTTGAGAGGCGGAGGGGTGTATGTTTGTGTGTGTGTGTGTGTGAGAGAGAGAGAGAGAGAGAGAGGAAAGGAGGAGACAGAAAAGCCCGGGGAAGGGATGGATCCCGTGCGCGCCTATGTGTTACTGTGTGACGGAAGGCAGAGACTGACTATGAGGGTTTGTTACTGCAGGCTTCTGTGTGTGTGTGTGTGTGTGCGTGTGCGTGCGTGCGTGTTTACGTGGGCTGTGCATGTGTGTGGGGGGGTGGGCTGTGCGTGTGTGTGTTTATGTGGGCTGTGAGTGTGTGTGTGTGCGCGCGCGTGTGTGTTTACGTGGGCTGTGCATGTGTGGGGGGTGGGCTGTGCGTGCATGTGTGTTTATGTGGGCTCTGTGTGTGTGTGTGTAAGAGGGAAGGAGGGTGTGTGTGTGTGTGCGCGCGTGTTTACGTGGGCTGTGCGTGGGGGGGTGGGCTGTGCGTGTGTGTGTTTATGTGGGCTGTGAGTGTGTGTGTGTTTATGTGGGCTCTGTGTGTGTGTGTGTGTGTGTGTTAAGAGGGAAGGAGGGTGTGTGTGTGTGTGCGTGTTTACGTGGGCTGTGCATGTGTGTGGGGGGTGGGCTGTGCGTGTGTGTGTGTTTATGTGGGCTGTGTGTGTGTTTGTGCGTGTTTACATGGGCTGTGCGTGTGTGTGTTTATGTGGGCTGTGCGTGTGTGTGCGCGCGCGTGTGTGTTTACGTGGGCTGTGCATGTGTGGGGGGTGGGCTGTGCGTGCATGTGTGTTTATGTGGGCTCTGTGTGTGTGTGTGTGTAAGAGGGAAGGAGGGTGTGTGTGTGTGTGTGTGTGCGCGTGTTTACACGGGCTGTGCATGTGGGGGGGGCTGTGTGTGTGTGTGTTTATGTGTGTGTTAGGAGGAACAAAGACATTCCAGAGAACATGGGGGCTGGGGCATTGAGGGATGTATAAGAGTTCATGAGGCCAGAAGGAAAGACCTGGGGAATCTTGCCAACCAGCCATGGGGGACAGAGGTAGATTTGGGGAGGAGGAGAAGCTGGCAGCAGACCCTGATCAGGAGCTGGCCCGAGTGACTCTGCAAAGGAGAGGTCTGGGCACACAGTGCCAGGAGCCAAATGGGACCGTCTGCTCTGGGCAGTGTGGCCACATGGTGGGCAGGGACGGGCCTGGGGAAATAACTCCCCCTGTTTCCGTACAGCCTTCTGGATTCTCCAGCGTGGAGGGAAGCAGATGGGGAGGGGGGCCACTTGCCAGAATTCACAAAGTTTGTTGAGTGCCACGGATTGAAAGAAGGGAGGTGGGCCCTGCCCTGAAGGTGACCAGATCTTCTCTGGACGGAAGGTCTGGACCCTCTCTCCATCCTGGAGGACTGGTAACTTACACTACCAGCTGCCCAGACCATTCCTGGGCATTGCATCCTAATTCCTGGAGGGACATTCTGAGATCCAGGTAGACCGGAAAATGGAACCAGTTATCCTGGTGGTCCACTTACCAGTGATGCAATTTGGGGGATTCCCTTCTCTCTGAGCCTCAGTTTTCTCCTCTGCAAAGTAGGATTTGTAATTCCTGCCTGCCCCTCAGTACTGATGTGAAGATTTAATGAGTTCATGTACACATGGGCTCTTTGTAAGCTATGAATCACTGGAAAATGCTGAGCATTGCTCCATTTCTATAAAGTCCAAAGCACTTCGATGCTGTCAGAAGTCAGGCCAGCCTTGCCTCTGTGGAAGGAATGACTGGAAAGGGGGCACCCGGGGACTTCCAGGTGCTGGTAGAGGGTGGCTTGCGGATGGGAGGGCTGGGTACGGGGATGTGCCGTTTGTGAAGAGTCCTTAGGATCTGGGCTTTTTTTGTGTATATGTCATAGTCCAACAGCATGTTCCGAAAAGAAAGGTCCGGTATCCTGACTGCGGTTCTTTTGCTCACACGATGGGCATTCTGGAATGCTGTATCAGTGAGGCAGGAGCTGGGCTGACTACTGGGGGTGTACAACAGTGAACAAGACAGGATCCTGACTCTTCCAGAAAACCGAGGAGAAAGGGCGTGGCTTTTTCCACTTCTGAAAGGTTCACACCGCCAGGGGAGGCGCTTACCCCGAGCCATGCCCCAGTCTGGCGGCCGAACCAGGACTAGAACTGAGGGCTTCCAGCACTCGGGCTGAGTCTTTCCTGTTCCAGCCCCCCCAGGCTGCCTGGGAAGGACAGGCCCTGGTCTTCATGCTGCTCTGAGAACAACAGGGAGGAGGTTTGCTGCCCACTCTGCTGATCCCCAGTATTCCCCTCCCCCAAACAGCCTCATGGGAACAAACCTACAGATACCATGATTCCCACCCCAGCCCCGTGTTGCAGGTGAGGAACATGAACGTTCAGAGAGGGAAAGTGGCTCCCCCAAGGTGGCACAGCGGGTCTGAGAGGACTTGCTCCTTCGTTCTGGTGCCACACTGCTTCTGTTGGCATTTGTAGGCTCATTGTGCTAACAGAAACATGGGCCGTTGTGTGGCAGGAGAACCCGATTCCCTCGTCAGGCTCCTATAGACTGGGTGTTGAGGATGCTTCTGCCAAACACTCAGGTTTCTGGGTACAGTAGTCAGAGCATCAGAGCTCGAACTGGCAGAAAACTGCCTTAAACTGGTAAGGGCAGGGTCGAGCAAGCTCCAGGCATGGCTGCACTGAGGGGCTCAGATGATGTCGTCAGGATTCAGGGTCAATCTCTCAGTCCCTCAAGATTCTTTCCCTCTCCACTGGTCTCATTCTCTGGTAGGCTGTCCTCCTGATCAGAGAGTGGCTGCCAGCAGCACTAGCCATGCATCCTAGTCTCTAGCAGCTCCAGCACAAACAGAGACTCTCTTTTCTCAACAGTTCTAATTGCGGTCTCCAAATCTGGTCTCACTGGCTGTTACTGGAACATGTATCCATTCCTTGGCCAATCACTGTGGCCAGGGGTTCTGATTGGCCAGGCCGCCGAGCCTGAGGGTCTCAGAGGTACCTGGCTTTTGAGTTTATGTGGGATTTCGAGCTATCCCAGCCTGAGGACTCATCAAGATCCAAGAAGTGTGAAAAGTGAAAGTGAAAGTCGCTCAGTCGTGTCCAGCTCTTTGTGACCCCCATGGACTATGCATGGAATTCTCCAGGCCAGAATACTGGAGTAGGTAGCCGTTTCCTTCTCCAGGGGATCTTCCCAACACAGGTCCGAGAAGAATCCTCTAGAATTTGTGGAGAGGCTTATATTTCATAGGCCTCCAATAAATGGCAACAGTTTTTATTGGTATTCTTCCTCTACTTTTCCTCTGTCATCGTCTTGACGGCAATGTCTAGCATACAGTAGGTACCCAAGGAATCCTTAGTGGTTAACTGATTTGGGTAGGGGGTTGCTGATATCACGTACCAAGTCAGAGTCTGGATAAACTGGACAGCTACAGGTCTACAGACAAAATGACACTCATTATAAGAGACACTCATTATTTTGTCTTGTCTTCCATAACGGAGCTGAAACTATAGTCTAGAGCTCCTGGGGGGTATCACCAGGCTCTCTAGGAACAGACTTCCCTATCACACCCACCCACCAGCCTGTCTAAGAGGATGTAGTTAAAAGGAGCCCATTAGGAGGTTGGCCCAGGCGGGCAGGCAGAGCTTGTCAGATCCAATTAGACTATTTCTTGACTCACCCAACCCTGTAGAGAGGTTGCCTGGGGTGGGGCTGGGGACCAGGATGTTTCAGTCTGACCTTTTCCTCTTTGGGCCACTAGCTGCTCTGATTCCATTGGGCAGTTTGAGTTTCTATGAGGGACTGGAGATCCATTAAGTCCTGAGCAACAGTAGGTGCTGTTTATCAAGCGTGCACTGGGCCCCACACTTGGCCCTTTGCGTGGTTTGAATACAGGACCATGATTAAATACTTTGCAGGATTAAATACTGGGATGTATTTTGGATGCTCACATTATACCTGCTTTTCCTTTACTTAAAAAATGTTTGTTTATTTATGGCTGTCCTGGGTCTTCCTTGCTGCATGTGGGCTTTCTCTAGTTGTGGCAAGCAGGGGCTTCTCATTGCACTGGCTTCTCTCCTTGCAGAGCGCAGGATCTAGATGTGCGGGCTTCAGTAGTGACCCCTCAGCATGTGGGATCTTCCTGGACCAGGGATCAAAGGAACCTGTGTTCCCTGCATTGGCAGGCAGGTTTCTTAACCACTGGACCACCAGGGGAGACCTTCCTTTACTTTTTGTGCTATTTTCTCCCTTTGCCCTGATTTCCATATTTAATTTTAAAAATAAAATCTGTGGGGTTTTTTTTCTGATCTCAAGGGCAATTAATGCGTACTCACTGTAAAATAATGTAAGTAATATGGAAATGAATACAACAGGAAAAAAATCCCTCATAACCCCACTCCTCAAATATTAACCACTGCTAACTCCTTGATAAGAGTCTGCATTGAGCTGCATTAATAGATGTGTGTCTGTTTTATGAGAGAAACACATTAACTTTTCATAGTCTCCTTGGTTCCTTGTCTTTTGAAAAAATATTTATTTATTTGGCTGGGCCAGGTCTTAATTGCAGCATGCAGGGTCTCCGATCAGCTCGGAGTCTTAGCCACTGGACCACCAGGGAAGGCCCCCTCCCTACCTTTGAGGAAGAAAACTTTGCAGTCCAGGTGTCTTCAGGCTTGCTCTGTCCTGCGGATCTGAGTCACAGGATGAGGGAGGAGAAAGGAACAAGCCAGGAGAGACAGGGCAGAGGGTGCTGGCGGGGAAGAGATGGGAGAGGCTGGAGCAGGAGCCCGGGAGCTAAGAACGTGCAGCTTGAGCTTT